TTCTGAACAGCCCAAGACCTCTGGTCACCGGAGATGCAGGTGGAGGAGCCCCACTGACCAAAGTGGCCATTGAGTCAGAATTCCCCACGCAAACCTTCAGGATCCATGGGGGTTGCCTAGGAGAACTGCAGGCTTGGAAACGTGAGTGCAGGATGACTGCTTGGCGGCGGCTCAGTAAGTAGCTGTGGGTGGCGTTGAAGGTGACGTGAGGGTGAGGTAAGGTGGCTGTGGTGCTGTCTGTCTCTCTTGAGTCCCTGGGTGAAAATCCAGCCTGGCTGCTCCAGACCCATGTATGTGTTTCAGCTGCGCGAATGTCTGTAAACGCCAGAGGGAAAGGGCGAGTTGTACTGGCAAAATGATGAGGGCCCCGGAGAAGAGAATAGTATAAATAGCAGGGGCTGTGTCAGCTTGTTCCAGCCACCTGAAGCCAGGTGTAAATTCGTATCTGACCCACGCGTCTGAGGTGCCAGCTGGGCGCCAGGCGTGGTGGTAGGTGCTCCACACTGCCGCAGCGCCCTCTGTCCCACAGGCCTGGAACGAGTGGCCGTTAGCGCTGTCCTGTGCGTTTGGAAGCTCAGGGGCAGGGAGGCGAGTGTCTTGTGGAGGTGTCGGAGGCCCCACCCCACCCTTGGCCGAGCTCTACTTTCTTACCACATGCCACCCCCCCTAGCAACTCCATGTCACTGTCACCAGGAGCGCCCTGACACAGCAGGCTGACCCAGACTCCATGGTAAAGTTCTCGCCTCGGAACCCCCGCCCCTTTCCCCAGAAAGAGCCTCCCCTTCCTGGTCCGCTGGACAAGGTTTTCCATCCTTCTGGGACCACCAGGAGACAGAAACCACCCGGTAGGCTAACCAGGGAAGTTCAGTACGAAGAATTATTATTGCCTGTGAGAGAAGGGTAATCATAAGCTATAAGGAACATGGTTCCCTAGGGCTGAGGGAGTGTGGCCAGGCAAGGACGGACACTGGAGGAGGTGTGTTTCAGCCCACAGGACAGAGAAATGCTCCGGCCAGCGCCAGCCTGGAGCTGCAGGGCAGGCAGCAGCCACCCTCTGACGCAGGCGGCAGGGAGTAGTCAGCTTCCGTGACAAGAGTGTGCCGTACCCGTGGGAGTCGGGTGCCTGCGGAGGCAGGAAGCCTTCCGAGCATGGGGGCCCTGCTTTCCACGTAGGGAGGGCTGTGGGGAGGTCACTGCTGGGCCGAGAGCGTGAAGTGGTGGAGGGACAGTGTTCTGAGCCCGCGGCTGGCAGGCTCCACCGGGTGTCCGCACACCCACTGCTGACCCAGGCCGGCAGGACAGCCCGTCCCCCTCAGCGCCCTGCACTGGCAAAGCTCAGCGCCGCATGGGAGATGTGGCTGAAGGAATGCCACAGTCTGTGGCAGAGCAGGCCATGACAGGGGCATCTGGAGCCGAGAGGCGATAAACTGACGACAGCGCCGCAAAGCCACTCCAGTGCGTGCACTGCTCGCCCTGTGCAAAGGAACGACCCTCTCCCCGTACAAAGGCTGCACCTCGATGGTGTCCCTGTCGTCGCTGGGCCACAGGGCAGCCCTGCAGCGCTGTGTGTGGTGGCCTCCCTGCTGGGACACTCTGTCGTTCCCTTTCGCATCACCCGGCCTGGCGCACAGTGAGTTCTCAAGTAACATCTGCTGCCTGGGCTCACGCTGCGACGGTCAGGGTCGCAGCCCGTGGGTGAGCGGGAAGGCGGCGCCCTTGGGGATTGAACAGGCCCGAGTACACCTGACCTCCTTGTCTTGTTCTGCTTCAGAAGATCCAATTTCTAGAAACTTCAGAGGTCAGAAGACCGTAGTCTTTGTTAGAATTTGTTGGACTCTCTGTTAGTTGCTGCTGTAAGGCCGATGCCTGAGCCGTTTTCTCTTTCCAGCCTGAGACTTAAGAACCAGCAAGTACCCTGTCCTCGGCCGACAGCCCCAGGAACAGAGCAGTGTTTCCTGGAACATCTCTCCTTCGTAATCTCGCCAACAAAATGTAATTGGGACGGAGACATCCCGTTCTTTTCCCTTTTCAAGTTCACACCGGATCATAGCTGATCTTTCCGAGCACGGGCAGCGCTCGCGCGCCAGAGGCGGAACCCAGAAGCCGGTTTCCAGGCATCTTCTCCAGCATGTCCTGTCCGTTTCCCCCGCCGCCTTTCAACCAGAGCCGTCAGCCTGCCGTCCGCCCCGTCTCCCCACCAGCCCGTGCCTTTCAGAGAGCAGCTGCGGCTGTCACCCACCTTCTTTCACGCTGCCTGGACACAGTTCCCATTGGGGGGCCTCACCCAGGGTTGTATGCATGTGCCAGGCTCAGTGCCAGTGCTGGGCACTATCCCAGGCCTAGAAATTCAGATACGAGGTTCAGTGAGCAGCCTTCTGATCTCCCAGGCTATGGCTTTAGACTTTTCCCTCTCCTCGCCCCTTAAGGTCACTCTGACCAAGTCCCAGCAAGTCTCCTCGTCCCCTCTCTCGAAGTGCATTGCCCTGGTCTGAATTTCTCAGCACAGACCCGTCCTGCAACGAGGCTGCCTCCCAGTGCTTCGTGGAGCTCAGCTAGAGCAGGCGCAGCAGGTCCCTGCAGCCACTGAGAGCCACCTTCTTGCCTGCCCTTCAGGCTCCACAGTCTGGCCCCCGTACCCCTCCCCGCCTGCCCAGGCCCAGCCTTCCCCAGCCCTCACATGCCGGGCAGCCTCCTGGGAAGGGCTCGGCTTCGAGCCAGGTGAGCACTCCCACCTTCTGGGCTGGCGTTATACACGGCTGTGGTGCTGTGATATTTGACATTACTGAGTGTCACTCAATAATGGCCTCTTGTGTACATTTATTTTTTAAAGCATATTGTCGTAAGCTCGCAAGCAGGGACTGTGTCCTAAACTTACCTGGCTTCCTAAGGTCCACAGTGGGCGCCAGTGCTGGTGGGAAAGCTGAGGCCTGGCTTGTGAGAGCGACTTCCAACAACAGGGCCCCATGAGACGACCCCTCTGCCCTTCGTGGAGTGTCAGAGAGGACACACGCGCTGCCTGCAGGGACGTGCGGTCACTGGTCTTCAGGCGTGTGCCTGAGATGGAAGGTTCTGAGGGTCGTCAGTGGAGTGCCTGCGCAGACAGCTGCCAGCGCTGTCTCCAGGCCAGCTCCAGCCCCGGCGTTTGTGCCTTACCTCGCCCCGCTTGCCTGTGGCTCACACATGTAGCTGCTGTCGTGACCAGAGACTTGCCCACAAGTGGCAGGTGCCCTGGTGAAGGCAGTGGCCTGTGGGATGACATCTGACAGAGACCTGCTGGGGTTTGGGCCTAGGCGGCAGGAGCCCGAGGAGGACCCACGGGGCTGAGGCCAGTACCTTCTCACAACAAGGCCTGGTGACTCTGGAACAGTCGAGGGTGGATCCAGTTTTGCACATGGCAGGTGGCTCAAGCCCCACGTTGCCCACATCTCGGGCAGCATGGCTCTTGCTGAGTGATTGTCTCTGTCATAGCCGGTGACCCCATTACCGAGATCAGGACACCATCAGCTCTGCCACCGCGGCTGGGTCCAGGTTCCCTGGCACACTGCACAGCGTGGTGGCACTGTCTCAGGAGCAGCCCACTGAGCCACATCCACCTGCCAGGGCCTCAGGTGTGGCCCGAGGAGGGGATGCAGGGCCACCAGGTGCTTGCAGCTCTCCCACCTCCCTGTGCTAACCAGGACTCATCCACAGACAGCACGGGGGTCACTGTGACGCCCCCACTTCCTCCTTCCTGGAGCGTACACTAGTTCACTTGCCCTTCTTGGGAAACACTGTGGCTCTTAAAGCAAACCAGAAACAAATTGGCCTCATAATTTTTATTTCTGCTTTCTTTAAATGTAGCTAGATTTTTTTTTTAAATAAGAAAAAAATCCTAAGGGGTTTGTAGAGACTGAACGTCTCGCCAGGCATGTGTCACTTTGGGTTAGCTGAGTGCCTCTGCCACCCTCAGCCAAGTGCCCACAGCGGCATGTCACGTGGGTCAGGCGAGCACATTTGCTTCCCCAGGCACAGCAGTGCCCTGATGGGCACCCCACTTGTCACCACCCCGAGGCAGACGGGCGAGGGTGACGGGAGCCAGCCCTGCCCCGTGGTGCCCGGTACGTGTGGGCTCTGGGACCCCAGACCTTCTTCCCCTGCGGGCTCTGGGGAGGCGGCAGCTTCTGCTTCATCTGCTCCTCCTCGGCCTGCGCGCAGACCGGTTTCCCCGCCGCTGCCCACTGACCTGACTGGGACGCACATTGCCTCGGGCTCCATCCAGCCCTTTCGGAAAGAAACGCGTCCGCAGAGAACGGGAATGAGCGGTGTGTGCTGTGACTCTGCCTGCACCCCTCCCTCCTGTCCTCGCGCCTGGCCTTTGGATCCCCCATGTCCCCAGAGGGAACAAGTGGGGACAGTGCCCCCAGGCCCAGGGCCAAGGGGCCAGAGGACAAGCACAGCTCCTCGCAAAGGGTCACAAAAGGTCCTAGAGCCCAGACCCTCCCCCACTTCTCCAGGATGTCATCCCAGTCCCCAAACCTCCCATCTTCACTCCGAATTTCCAGCCTCTTGCCTGTCGATAATGGAAAGTGGATCCCGCTCCCGTCCAGTCCTCGTCGCGTGCTCTGAGGGAAGTTGTCCCACATCGCGCTCAGGGTGTCCGTGCCAACTCCCTGGGGGATGCCACGACTCGCAGAGCTTTCTGGGACAGCCACCCTTTGCGTTCCTTCCCTGCCTCCTGTAGACACTGGATCCGCTGGGGCTGTCTGTGCTTTGTGGGCCATCCCCCTTGGTGACCCGTGACCCCGTTCTCCCACCTGGCTCCAGGTCACCTGCAGACTTTGGGAAACTGTCCTCTGACCTTCTCCTCGGGGCCTGTGAAGCAGACGGAAGCCCCCGCTGAGCCGGCCCCGCGCGCCCTCAGGCCTTGCCCGCTCATTCTTGGGTCTTCTGACCTGCTGCTCGCGTTGTCCCCGCGCCGGAAGCCCCTGCCCCCGCGTCAGCCTCTCTGTGTTGCTCCGCAGGGCCTGATGCACTCCAGCGGCCCGGTGGGCCGGCACCGGCAGCTGACCCTGGTTCTGGAGGGGGAGCTCTACCTCATCCCTTTCGCCCTCCTGAAGGGAAGCTCCTCCAACGAGTACCTCTACGAGCGCTTCGGCCTTGTCGCCGTCCCCTCCCTCCGCTCCCTCAGCCCGCAGTCCAAGGTAACACGCAGCACGCTTGGGGGTCTCGAGGCCCAGTCCGCCCAGACTCGGCTGTGTTATTAAGGCCTAGGCTGTGATCTCCTCAAAAGTGTCGATTTTACGGTTTGCTCCCAGGTAGGTGACTTTAGAGTAGGTCTATCCCAAGGACAGGCCCCATGACCCCTGCCTGGCAGCTCTTTACTACCTCAGGAAGCTGTGATTTTTCACATTTCCTTCTCAGTTTCTCTGCTGTGACATCAGGGTCATGAGCTGCTTAGAGGCACAAAGCCAGGCCTGAGGCCCGACTGGGCACCTGAGGGAGCTGTCGCCCCCGTTCACACACGACACCCAGTGAGGCACAGCAGTTGCCGTGCCGCTCGCCCCGGCCCTCCAGCTGACCGCTGGCTGGGCACCAGGCGCTGCCACAGGCAGAGGCAGCGGACGGGGAGAGCGGTGTCAAGGGGAAGAGAGCCCAGTATGCCACTCAAGTCTCATTTAGCAAGCAAAGTCGGTCTGGAAAGAAACATCTGTGAAAATCAAGAGGGCAGCAGCGGGCCGTCCACAGTCACGGGTCCCACCCTACAGCTGCCCGGCCCTGCCCACCTGGGGAGAGAGACTTTGGAGCCAACCCCGAATCCTCTTCCCCTTCTCCAGACTCTCCTAGGCCGGGTCAGGAGCCGAGGCTGCAGGCCACGTGTGAGGGCAGCCGCCACGGACCTGTCTTGGCCTCTTTGTTGACTGTGGCCATTGGCATGGTCTAACAGGGACCAGTTTCTGCCTCACAAGTTTTTGATCTTAATTTTGACCACTTTTGTTGCTTTATAGTACTTTTCTCATGAGATGGAATCAGTTCAAAGTGAAAGAAATTATTTCCTCCGAGTTTCTCAACTTTCCGTGGCTGACTGTGACTCCCAGAATCCCAGATGTGCAGCAAGCTGACCTGGGGCTGCCGCTGCCCAGCGCCCCCCACGCCTGCTCACAGCAGCGCCCTGGGTGTCAGGTGCTGCCACCTCCAGAAAGCTGCTATTTTGCTGACAGGGGTCAGTTAGCTATTTGCCAACTGAGTCAGGGATTCGGAGGGTCCCGTCTCCTGACAGGTGCCAGCTGTTTCTCTTGCCCAGAGTTTAAGGCGTCACTAAGCAGGGGCATCAAAAAGTTGTTTTGAAATAACTTGATACTTGAGTTTCTCAAAAAGGTATCAAAAGTCATCATGGGGAAAAATCAGAAGATATTGCTTCTTTATGCTGGTTTCACGATTCAGTGGTATTTTTCATTTGCAGCGTATAAGGTGGAAGGGAACTATCTATCATCTTCTCAGTACCCAGAGCTTCTGAAGGACTGAATTTCCCGAGAGTGACTTGCTTTTTTGCACAATTTAAACAAAGTCGCTCCTCAAAGTCCCTGACGTATCAGGAGCAGGTTCTCCTCTTACTTAAGGGCGGTGCAGTCTCAGGGCAGGCTGGCAGTCTGGGACACCACGGCCTCTGCACGAGCTGTCAGCTCAGGGCCTCCTCCCCCAGTCCTCGCAGGACTGACGACAGGAAGTGGCCCTCCTGCCATCCTGTCCTGTTTCTAAAACTTGTCATGACAGCTGTGATTCTCAGTAAGTCAGGCACCTGTGTCAAGATGATGTGGAGTAATTAGAGTGAGTGAGGTTACTGGGGGCACGGGGGGCCCGAGCAAGACGCAGCAGGTGGCAGAGAGCTGGCACCCCTGTGCTCGGCCAGCTGCTGGGGCAGCCTGGCTGTTCTGTCTGACGGGTGGTCTGCTTGTTGTCCCCTCCTAGTCTCACCTGAGGAAGAACCCGCCCGCCTACTCCAGCTCCACGTCCATGGCGGCTGTCATTGGCAACCCCAAGCTCCCGTCGGCTGTGATGGACAGGTGGCTGTGGGGGCCGATGCCATCGGCAGAGGAGGAAGCCTACATGGTGTCCGAGCTGCTGGGCTGCCAGCCCCTGGTAGGCAGCGTGGCCACCAAGGAGAGGGTCATGAGTGCCCTGACCCAGGCGGAGTGCGTCCACTTTGCCACCCACATCTCTTGGAAACTGTCAGCCCTGGTCCTCACGCCCAGCGTGGACGGCAACCCCGGCAGCAGCAAGAGCTCCTTCGGCCACCCTTACACGATCCCCGAGTCCCTGCAGGTGCAGGACGACGCCAGCGACGGGGAGAGCATCTCGGACTGCCCGCCCCTGCAGGAGCTGCTGCTCACGGCCGCCGACGTCCTGGACCTGCGGCTGCCCGTGAAGCTGGTGGTGCTCGGCTCCTCCCAGGAGTCCAACAGCAAAGTCACGGCTGACGGCGTCATCGCGCTGACACGGGCCTTCCTAGCCGCCGGCGCACAGTGTGTCCTGGTGTCTTTGTGGCCTGTGCCGGTGGCTGCTTCCAAGATGTTTATCCACGCCTTCTACTCATCCCTGCTGAACGGCCTGAAGGCCAGTGCTGCCCTGGGGGAGGCCATGAAGGCCGTGCAGAGCAGCAAGGCCTTCTCGCACCCCTCGCACTGGGCAGGTGGGTGCGCGGGCCCCGCTCCACAGCTGGGGACGGGGAGGGAAGGGCAGGGCCAGCCACACAAGATTCAGGGAGAGACCTGTGTGTCGAGTCCCTTACCTTCTGCCAAACGAGTTTTTTCCTACTATGGCATGAAGGTCATCTTTTAGAGCAGGGAGCAGCAGAACCGTTCACCATCAGAGTGAGTGTGAAACTCCTGATACTAGTGCACACGGGATGACCTATTTTATGGCACCCCCATTTAAACAGTGACTGTAGAAAAGGTGTGTGGTGGAAAGACTAGATTTGGTCATCAGAAGACTTAGGATTGATCTAGCTCCATGTCTTGGCTGTGTGACCTGAAATAAGATATTTAGCCTCTCTGAACCTCGGTGTCCTCAGCAATAACAAGGAGATGATGGTGGCGGTGCTGATGATACCGCCCTACCCCCATCTGAGAGGATGTGTAAGGAGTGTACTGAACGTCTTGTGACGTGTGGGGCCCTGCACGTTCTGGAAGACCAACAATGCTCGCTGTTAGTGCGCCTGCCTGCAGAGGGCTCAAAGGATCTGGGCAGCGAAGGGACGATGTGTCTGGGACAATGGTCCCAGGAGAGTGAGAAGGCAGGCACCCAGCCTGTGTTCAGAGCCGCCTCTCAGCTCTGAACAACGCCCTGCCTCCCGTGGGGTCCCCGCGGGAAGCGTGTCCACAGCAGCCCCGAGGGGCTCCGCCGTGCAGGAGACCCTCCTCAGTGCAGACCGAACCCTGGGCCTGCTCCCTCACCGGCCCCTCCCCAGCCAGGGCCGGCCACACCTCACGGTCCTTTGGTCTGTGTCCTCTCTCAGCATTGGCCCCTGCCACTCCCCAGGCAGTGCCAAAGGCCCAGCAGTGGGTAACGGTGGTCCTGACCCGTACAGCAGAGTATCTGAAAGTGTCTTAAACCTTGGGAGACAGAGAAACACCAGAAAATACTATTTTCTTAAAATAAATCCAGCTGACATGTTCTGATACTGCTGGTGTCACCTTCCAGAGCTGGGGAAGCCCTGCGGTGGAGCCTGGTGTCGGCAGGCCCAGCCAGCCGGCAGACCATGTGGCTGCAGGGGCCACTGCCCACAGGCCCGCCCAGGCCCAGGTGGATGGGCCAGCTTGTTGAGAAATGGAAACATTTTGATTAATTCACAAACACAACAGGGTATTGCAAAGAGCTATACAAAAAACAACAGAATGTATCCTGTTTCCTAGAGTGGCTGAAGAGAAACGTTCAGTTGGTCCAGCAGGCACAGACCTGGCGTGCTTTTCTGTGTTTCTGCCAGGGGGAGGGTGGGCTGGCCATGTTGCTACCCTGCTTCCGCTCCCAGGAGACACAGAACTCAGAGGGGATCCTGCCGGATTCCATTACTGGTCTCATCACACGATGCATGTTTTATGCTCCTGGCAGTCAGAGGGGGTGTGGGGCCCCACTGAGTCCCACAGAACGTACCGCAGGGTTGTGGGAACCTAGGCCCTCCACCTGGCTGTTCCTTCCTGAAAGGGCTCCTTCCCCTATGTGTGGGTCTCCACCATGTACCTGCAGACACGGGAGTTTTGAAAAGGGTCTTTGTTTGGTTTTACTGATGGACAATATAAAAGTCACACCTTTGCTCTGGGAGAAACAGTTTTTAATGATACTGCCCTCTTATCTTTAAAACAGCTCATTCTCTTAGAAGCCCTTTCCCTATATGATTTGGGGGCAGGTTGGTCCCAAAGTTGCTCAGGGACTTAAGGAAACTGCTTCCCCTGGCCCTGTTTCGGAAGGGCATGCTGGGAAAAGAGCTGGGAGAGCCAGGACAGGGACGCAGGGACGCGGGTGCTCTCCAGCCGTGCTAGTCTTTCCCAGCCCAGGCTATTTGCCGCTTCTGAGAACTGGAGGGAAGCTGCCGCCTCTGTGACCCCCTCCTCCGCTGGCCCAAAAGAGGAGATGAGCACACACACTCCTGCCCTCCACTACGTTCCCTCCTACAAGGCCTGGGGACAGACAGACGCGGATTTCAGGGAAAGCAAGGCAGAGCATTCCTTGGGAGGGTGGGCTGAGCCAGGGAAGGGCCCAGGGCTTTGGGGCCTCGGAGACCACTGGCCTTTCCCACCATCACTCCCGGTGGCTGTGAGGCAGGCAGTGCTACCTCCCGAGCTGCTCTCTGCAAACAGCATGCCCCACTTACCTGAACAGCTAAATAATGTCGATTCTTGAAAGAGCACAAAAGGTGCCACGTCGCCATCCAGTGAGTTAGATGCCCCCAGTCCACCTGTGAGCAGCTCTCCTGCCTGGCCCTGCCCTTTCTGCGGGTGAATCGTGAGGCCTCAGTGAGCCATAGAAACCGGGGGGTGGGGGGTGAGGGTCCCCAGCCGCCCACTGAGGTGCCCTCCCGTGCTCTCCACAGGGTTCCTGCTCATCGGGAGCGACGTTAAGCTGAACAGTCCCTCCTCGCTCATCGGCCAGGCCCTCACAGAGATCCTGCAGCACCCGGAGCGCGCGCGGGACGCCCTGCGGGTGCTGCTGCACCTGGTAAGGGGGCCGGGGCTGTGTGAGAAGGGGAGGGGCTGGGTTTTCCTGCCACTGGGACACGAGCAGGTGGAGGACACCTCGACTGGGGCTTTCTCTAGGACAGCGCTGACCGGCTTCTGCAGACGTCCCCAGGGTGAGCCCACGGGTCTGAGGGGTAGGCACCATGTGCAGTGTCATCTAGGACCCACACCCTAGCTGCTCCAGGGCATGGGGCTTTGGGGAGGTCACTTTGGCTCTCTGAGCCTCAGTTTCCTCATCTGGAAGGGGGATGATAAAACTTTAACATTTCAAGATCACTGTGAGAAAATGTAAGCACCTGGCACATAGCAGAGTCCCGGTAGCTGGGCGATGTTAATATTTTGTAATCAGATGACACCAGTCCTCCCCTGAACTCGGCTGGAAGAGCCCAAGTCTGAGCATGCCTGGCCAGCCTGCCCAGCTCTGTGGAGCCGGGTGAGGGAACACACGGAGGCCCCATGTCCTCATCTGCACATTTACAAGTTATAAATTGAGTCAAGAAATGGTGACATAAACTTGTTCTATTTTTCCACCTTGGTAACAACCTGGCTGGAAGGCAGTTTCAAATAACGTAGAGTTCTGTGCCAGAAAGACCAGCCCAGGCCCAGCCCGGGAGCCCCGAGAGCATGGCACACAGCCAGCCACATCCAAGCTCTGTCCAAACCTGGTGTAGACAGCCGCCCCTTGGCGACCTTGTAGGCCGGTGGCTGCACACGTCCTGGCCCCGTCCCTCCTCAAGACAGAGGACCTGGGGCAGAGTCCGCACAGGGCTGGGAGTGGGCTGGCGTCTGGGTTCCAGGTGGGCACGTCCCCTTGGCCATGCAAGCTTCTTGCCTCGTGGGGAGGGCCCATGCAGGGTCTAGAACCCTCATGCCTGGGCACGGGTGTGGCAGCTCCCAGTGTACTTCTGACAGTAGACGAGTCATGCCCACGTCTTAAGCTTCAGTTCTGCCAGAACTGTTTCCTCAGGCCTGAGGGTAGTTGGCCTGTGGACAAGTTAGGACTGCCCTGCCCCGCACTCCTCCCGCAGCTCTCGAGCCAGGCCCGAGGTAACCCTTCCGGACAGCGTTGGGAGCTGTCTCCACTGATGTTCCCCTGGGTCTGCAAACTGCCCAGAGCCTTTCAGTTGCTCAGCACTAGGTCCCTTCTCAGCTCCCTGTCACCCCCAAAAGTCCCTCCATACTTGCCACCGGCCAGACTGCTTTTCTTGGTTGGTGGAACTACACTCTCTACTCACTAGGCGTCCTTCTCCCGGGCCGGGCCTCAGCTGCCCCCACTCAGCCTTGAGGACCCTACGGCACATTTGAGGGTTTTCTCTTCTCCCTTGGCTTTGTCTCCTGGAGTGGCTGTGGCAGCCATGGGTCAAGTTCACCGGCTCCTACCTTCTTCTAACTGCCCTGGGTCTCCTTTGCTCCAGTGGACAGCGTGTCTCTGAGGCCCTTGCAGCCCAGGGGACACGGGGGCTGGTCATCTGTCCTGCCCAGGAAGGCTCGCTGCCTCTTGGCTGGTGCGAGTGCACACTTCTTCCTGCTGGGGACCCCTGGGCCCTGGCATCCGTGTTTCACTGCAAGAAAAGCCTGGGGTGACATTTTGGACAACTGTCATGCCCCTCCAGAGAGAGCACATGTGCCTCAAGGGCGTTCAGCAGCTCAGGATGGACAGAGCTCCCTGTGGCGAGGCCTGCAGGGGGCCGGGTGAAGGCTGTTTGCGGTGTTGTCGAAATGCTCCCGCAGGAGAGTTAACATCGCAGTTACTTGAGCGAATGCAGCCACCGGTGCCAGGCAGGAGGACAGGAGGGACACTTCATGGCAGAGGGGAGGAGAGGCGTGGGCTCCAGAGGCCAGCACTAAAGGATGAGGGATGAGTCGGGAAGAAGGGCGTTGCCAGCCGAGGGCCCGGGACAGGCATGTGTGTTGGGGGCAGGGCTCTGAGCTGGAGGCAGTGAGGGTGTCTTAAAGGGCCTGTGGCTCATCCTGGCTAGTGGGAGCCATTACGTGGTTGGAGGGAGGCACCTGACCTGAGATTTGTTTTCGGACAGATTGCTTTGGTGTCCATGTGGTGGGGAGCCCGGAGCGATGGCCGGCTTAGGGCAGGTCCAGAATTCTTCAGCTGCGCCAGCCCTTGCTGGTTCCGATTATAAATCCTTCCCATCTGCACACGCCCTTGCGATGCCCCAGTGTTGTGTGCTGAGGCCTGGTCACATGGGCTGCCTGGGGTGGCAGCAGTCAGCCCTGCTGGCCACACCGAGAGCCCACACGGCCCTCAAGGCCACACGGAGAGCAACCAGGGCTGGCCGGGTCTCTGACTCACGCCCCGTCGCCCCACCAGGTGGAGAAGTCCCTGCAGCGCATCCAGAACGGGCAGCGCAACGCCATGTACACGTCCCAGCAGAGCGTGGAGAACAAAGTGGGCGGCATCCCCGGCTGGCAGGCCCTCCTCACCGCCGTGGGCTTCCGGCTGGACCCCCCGGCCAGCGGCCTGCCGGCAGCTGTCTTCTTCCCGACCTCCGACCCCGGCGACCGGCTGCAGCAGTGCAGCAGCACCCTCCAGTCCCTGCTGGGTGAGCTGGGCGCGGGCAGGGCGGCCCTTGGGGCTGACAGCAGCCGTGGCCTCCGAATGCTCGGAGTGCTGGAGCTCATTGCGAGGAGTGGCTAGGAGAGCCGGGCACAGCCTGCACTATCTGGAGGAAACATGCCTGTGACCCGATCTTTGCGTCTGCAGCGCTGAGGTGTTTGTGTCGAGCAGACACTGCCTCGGCTCGGCCCCTTCCCAGGACGGCACGAGGTCGTGTGGCACACGCTGCAGCCCACACGGTCGTGGCAGTGTGGCCAGGGGGACGCTGGGTGCTTGACTCGGAGGGGGTGGTGCTGCCTGGGCCCTGAGGTGGGTCCTGGGAACGTGGCTCCACCTAGAGGACTGCAGCAGGGTCAGGACTCGCCCCCCTGCCACCCGCCTTCTTCAGAGACCACGCTCTCCTCTTCCAAATCACACGTGGATGCACATGTCGGCTGTGCCGAGCTTTTGAAAAATTCTACCCATGCTGAGTATTTTGGGCTCTTTCCCCCGGGATGGTGGCAGGATTGTGGGTGCAGAGGCCCCTGATTAACTTCCACTCCCTTTTTCTTGGTTTAGGTCTGCCCAATCCTGCCCTCCAAGCCCTCTGCAAACTCATCACTGCCTCGGAGACGGGTGAGCAGCTCATCAGCCGGGTAAGTGGCGCCCAGGCCTGGGGGCTGTGCCGAGTTGGAAAGGCAGAGGCCTTGGCCCTGAATGGGCCTGCAGGTGAACGTGGTCTCCTGGCCTCTGTGATTAGAAGGAAGAGGCAAGGGCCGGGAGTAAGGGAACAGCCCTCCCTGGCACACGCTAGGTACAGAGGGGAGATTGTCACAGTGTTCTTTCTGAGTGCTGAGCCCCAGGGAATCGAGGGCCTTCAGAAGATGCTCTCGGGCCCCTGTCTACCTGTAGTCCAGGGCACTTCCTGAACTCGCCATGCAGTAGTCTCCTATACTTTGTCATCCCCACCCCCAACTTTTTTAGGTGCCTGACAAGTGTTGCGGCCCCTTCCCTAAGCCAGCAGGAGCACGCCCAGCACACCGGCATGGCTGCAGGTGTCCCGCACTCACTCTCTGGTCACAGTACGCGCCATGCTTGAAACAAAACAGTCACCGAGGCACAGCAGTGAACACACAGCCAACTCTAGCACAAGATACTGCGTAGCAGTGTTTAAAGATGTGCTTTCTTTTAAGAAAATGTAGATCTAATTCTGGAATTTGAGGAGTCTAATTCTTGGCATCATGTAGGCCCTTGGCAGACTCCACGGTGACTGCACCCTGGCCAGTGAGGGTCTGGAACAAGCCCCGGGGGCAGCCTGAATGTAGAAGGTGAAGCAGCCCTTGAGGAGCACAGAGTAGTTTTTTCGGTTTGTGTTAGACTGTAATAATTTGAGAAAGGCACTTACGTTGTTATTAAACACACTTGTCAGCAGGTTTCATTTTAAGCAGTCGTTTTTCTATGTGGAGATACAGCTGCTCCATCTAGGATTAATCTCCACATGCCGAGTGGTGCCAGGAGCCTGCTCTGACCCGGGGCTGTTTCCACTGGGATTTGTAACATAGAGCCACGCAGTGACTTGTCTCCTTGAGTTCCTGCTCATTTTGCAATAAGTGTGTTACACCTCTTGTTGAATAGTATCAGGAAGACACTTCCAGAACGTTGCGTATTGAAACAAACGTCCTGAGCCCAGGTGGTCTAGAGGACTGTGTCCTACAAAAAGAGAAAAGCAAGAATTACATTTGCAGGGCTAGGCTGAGAGTCAAAAAAAACCAGTTGCTTCATTTCTTGCTTTTGGTGAGAGCACAGGGACCTCCTGCCGGATACACTGCCGGGGCCCGGGGAGGTGTCCTGAGCCTTTCCTGACTCGCTCTCAGCCAGGCGCGCTGGTGTACAGAGTGGCCTGCAAACGTCCTGCCGTGCCCCTCCCGCTCGAGCCTCCGCTGGCAGGAAGGGCAGGGCCTGCTGACCCTGAGCCCCTCAACCCGCGCACGTCTGGCCTGGGTGTGGCTGTTCGTTTTCCTGTGTGTCCCCTGCTGACTCTTGCTCCTCTCCCCTCCCGGTCAGAGCCTCGGGCCTGGTGTGGCGCTTCCTAAAGCAGTGATCAGCTCGTGTTGCATAACAGCCTGTGCTTGAGTCTAAACTCTCTTCTTTCTCTCTCTTTTTCTTTCTTTTTCTTATAATCTGCTGGCCGAAGGCTGTTAAAAATATGGTTGGAATGGTGAGTACTACTCTAAGTAGCAACTGTCGTCAGGTGAGCCCCTCAACCCGCCCACCCCCGAGGCCCCCCTCGCGCACTCTGAGCTCGGTGTGCACGCGCTACCCTACCGGAGCCATGCGGGCTGCAAAGCTCAGGCTGGGGCCCAGTGCTGGTGGCCCAGGGCAGCCCATCCCTTTTCTCTGCTCTGGCTCCCCTCCTCCTCCGCCCTTCTTGCATCCTTGATTTGACCTTTTAAGTTCCACCAGAAGAGCAGGGGCAGAACCAACTTTAAGTGAGTAACACCTTGTGAACCCACACAAGACCCCTGAGGTCACAGACCAGGAAATCTGAACTGCCACGGACACCCGCGTGGGCCACGTGGGCTCCTCCTTGGGGTGCCGAGGCACTGAGATGTAATGCTGGCTCCTCTTCACCATTTCTTGCAAGATCCTAAAGATGACTTAAATAACTAAGTAAAAATGGAGGGAGGTGACCAGTCCCCTAATACACCCCCTTCCACTCCCCAAGCCCTGATGCAAGGCTGGAAGCAGAACCCTGACTGCGCCGTCCGGGCCCCAGGAGGCCACACAGCCTCTTGTCCCACGAGCTTCCCACAGAGAGAACAGTAGGACACTAGGTATGAAGGCACCTTAGAAAGAATCTCAAATCCTGTACGCGTAAGGTGAGAGGGTCGTTACTGATGCCAATGACAGGTGACACGAGAGTAACTCGGGTCAAGTCCTGAGGGGGCCGGAGGGACCGAGACAGTGGGCATGGCGGGGCTCACGTCTGGCCTCCTCCTCAGCTCCACCAGGTGCTGGTCCAGTTCCAGGCCGGCGAGAAGGAGCAGGACTTCGCTGCGGTTCCCATCCAGGTCTCCATCAGTGTCCAGCTGTGGCGGCTCCCGGGATGTCACGAATTCCTGGCGGCTCTAGGTAGGACGGAGCATCCTGGATTTAATGAGTCTCTTTAATTTATTTTTCTAAATCTGTTTTTCCTCCTGGTTTCTGTTGGGTAAAGCTGACAGACCCTTAAGGGTCTTATCTCGATGCTTTCTTAGATATTTTATTATTTTAAAGTAGTTAAAGATTCTAGTGCTTTCGCGCGATTCCCAAAGGGCCCTCAGCTTTGTCCCATTTCCCCTGCACGGGATTCCATCTTGCTCATTCGCACGCAAGGCCTTCATATGAATCCGCTGGATTCCAGCATTGCTGCAGGTCAAGCATGATTAGGAGCTAAAGAAAATCAAAATTAGAGTTATAAAATAATAGTTTCAGTACTGGTCTCTGTCACTGGCTGCTGGAAACTGGCAGGAAAACAATAGTATCGAAGCCACCTCTGACCGACCACCGGCACCCAGAATTGAACACGGCAGCGTCGTGGTCAGTCCAGGGCGCTCGCTTTCCCCTTCTCACCATTTGTGACGTGCCGACACAGCACCTGCCATGCCGCTTTCAGCAGGTGCGTTTGTGGATAGAACATAAGAGGCTCTGAGCCTCTCTCCTGCTCCCCACATAAGTGCCTGGTGACTTGCCTGGGAGCCATTTCCTCCACAGCTTTCTTTCGAACACTGTGATGCGTCAGGCAACGCTGCAGGCGCCGGAGATGCAGCAGTGGGCAAAAGACAAAGCCGTGCCCGTCTCGAGTTTGTCTGCTAGTGGGAGTACGGGAGCAAACTCAATGCGTCCAGCAGCCAGCGGAGCACCCTAGAGGTGAAGGAGCCCTAGACGGCAGAAGCAGGGGCAGGGGAGCCAGGGGACTGGGCTGGGGCGGGGAGAGGAGGCAGCGGGCAGGTCCTGTGGGCCTAGGCCAGAGGAAGCCTTTGGAGTTTAACCCGAGGCAAGCGGACGGTCTTGGGAGCGTGACACAGTCTGACTTCACTGTACAGGGATGAGCCATCAGGCGTGGCAGGGCAGCGAATCCTTAGAAAGGAATTTTTCTTCCCACTTGTGAAGTGTGAGTGTTCAGTGTTGGGCCATCTTGTCTAACCTTGTTGTGTGACCTTTCCCAGCCCACCGCAGCTTTGGGCTGGCTCCGTTTGTTTTCAGACACCTTGTGTCTTTTGAAGGGAAGAAGGAACCCACAAAGTTTCATCGGGGCTCTGCACCCCTGCATTAGACACTTGGCATCCTTTAAGAGTTGGACTACTTGTTCTTTCTCCTGTGGATCTAAATCAGTCTTCTTGGTATAACCACAGTAAATTTATTCCTAAATTGATGTGGCCGGTAGCCAATGGAGGCAGGAGTGAGAAAGGCCAGTTCACACCCAGGGCGGTTCTGTCTTCACTTCTGTGACAGGTTTCTTGGGGCCAGGGACGCAGGTGAGCCAGCAAGAGGACAAAGCCAAGACCGTTCTGTATAAAGGTAGCTCCTTCCTCACACCGGGCTGGAGCCTCCCTCCCCGGATGTATCAAGGGGAACAGTCCAGAAGGAAACCCCCAAAATCTTGGCCCTCTCCGAGGCTGGGACCGTGCGTGCACTACTCCACACTCTCCACGTTCCGCTGATACTCAGAGGCGAGCCAGTGTGCACACCGCAGTTGTTAAGTCCTCCCTGAGAGCTGCAGGAGGAAAGTGGCCTCCCACAGGCCGGGCATCTGGACAAGCGGCTCCGCTGCTGCTCCGCTGCTCCTCCGGGCCTCGGGCCTTGCCAGTGGGCGCCACCGCCAACACTCACCACAGGGCTGCAGGGATCGAGAGGACTCCGTTCTATTGAAGCCACCGATTTAAATCATTTTGGTGAAAGTAGAGGTTTCTAATGGAAACTATGTTTATTAGTTATTAAATGCTGAATTCTCTGAAACCTTCCTCTTGCTTTCAGAGAGGAAAACGTCCCATAGTGACCAGAATGCCAAGTGGCTCCTCCAGGGAACCTAGCTCTAAAGGGAATGACAGCGTCAGACCAGTATCGCAATCCTGGAGTGAGAACAGGAAGGAACGATGGAGGGGGGGAGCGGGGGCTTGGCAGGGCACAGATGTCTCCTCGGGTGACGACGCTCAGCTGTGCAGTCATGACACGCGCAGCATGCTCACGATAGCGGCACTGTGTATACAGGTCCCTGTTATTTTCACGTCACAGGTGCCCTGTCCCCGGGGGGCTTAGCACCAGGTGTTCTGCACTGCTTCAGGTGGGGCTCAGAGATCTACCAAGGGAGGCTGAGTAAAGATTTTCCATGCTGAAGACTCTTCAGGCCCTAAATTCTTGCTTGGTGGTCCCTGTCTGTGGCACAGATCTGTCACTGGCCACGGTGTCTGTGTCTGGCTTCTCCCCAGGGAGACGTGCTTGTTGGGTGCCTCTATAATGTCTCTTGATAAGTCTCAGTGCCATGTCAACAGCTCGTTAGCCAGCTTCTTGCTCAGGAAGCTCTGTGCCCTTTGTTGTACCCACTCTGGTCTCAATAGAATCATCAGAGTTGGGGAGCAGCACCCCTGGGCTTTGGCAGAGGCAGCATGGAGTCCCTGCAGAGCGGTTCAGCCGGGAACGCAGATTCTCTGTGGTCAGAGCTCACTTGAAAGCCCACAGCGGCGATGCTGAACGTGAATGAAGACATCGTCCTTGCCTTTGAGAGCTTTCCACGCACCAGCCTTAAATTTCGGTCCTAATGCCGAACCAAGTGGCCAGATTTTGTCCTGGACAGTCTTTTTTTTTTGAGACAGAGTCTCACTCTTTTGCCTGGGCTAGAGTGAGTGCCATGGCGTCAGCCTAGCTCACAGAAACCTCACAATCCTGGGCTCAATCAATCCTTCTGCCTCAGCCTCCCGAGTAGCTGGGACTATAGGCATGCGCCACCATGCCCGGCCTGTCCTGGACAGTCTTTAAGTAGACTGTTCTCCCGTGAGAGAATGGAAAAAACAACAAAATATTAATGAGTCTAAGTTCTGGTCCCCAGCTCTCAAGAACAGTCCACGGTGCCCTATGAAGGGGCAGGGGGACCTGCACACGCAGCACGTGGGGCTGCGCCGAGTGGCTGTTCCAGGTGAGGCAGCCTGGCCCTGTCCAGTCACATGACTAGCCACACGCAGACAGGGAGAGGCGCAGACCGGACGCTTGCTGAAGGGGCTTGCGGGTGTTCCCACAAAATTGTCCAAGGAGCCCTGCAGCTGCAATCGTGTTGAGGATATGAGATCTTCCCTGAGGAAGCAGATGCTTCTATTTCTTGCTCCTCTAGGTTTTGATCTCTGTGAAGTTGGTCAGGAGGAAGTCATCCTGAAAACAGGGAAGCAAGCCAACCGCCGGACCGTGCACTTCGCGCTCCAGTCCCTGCTGTCGCTCTTCGGTAAGGCGCACCCTCAGCGCCACCCCTGCCACGCCCCCCGGGGCTGAACCAGCACAAACATGGTTTTGTGTATGTGCTAGGGACTGTTCAAGAGCAGCAAACAGAAACTCCCTGCTCCCCTGGAACTTACAGTCAGCGCGGGAGACAGTCAAAATGCATGTAGTGTGTAGTATGTACGCGGGGCTGACAAGTGCCGGCAGGAAAAGCAAAGCAGGGTAGGGCACCAGAAGGGGAGAGGGTTGCAGCAGAGCGGGTAGGATGTGGTGACCATGCCTGTCCCTCTGCGGGGCCTGGCAGGAGCCCAGGTCACGTGGGCCTGAGGGGACACCCAGCTTGGCCTGTGTTCTCGAGGGCCGAGCTGGCTGCAGAGTGAAGGGTCCGGCAGGGGCCATGGTTTGCAGGCAGGACCAACAGGATCTACTAAAGGATGTGTGTCACAGCAGAAAGGGGCACCTGCTTTTTGGAACGACTGCCAGAGCGGGATTGCCTTGGCTGAGGCAGGGAAGTGTCGGGAGGAACGGGTTTGAGTTCCACCCCAGATACGTTCAGTACTGAAATGTCTGTGAGACACATTCACAGGCAGCTGGTTATGTGGTTTGGAGCTCAGTGGGGGCCAGTGCAGAGATACGTGCAGGTCAGAGGGTAGGAGGAGAGGCAGTCCTGAGAGCGAGTGGATGACTCCCGAGGGGTTTGCCGGCACAGGGGGTGATGGGATGGAGCTGGGGGGAACGTTGCAGGTTGCTCACAGGCAGCCCTGCCCAGAGCAGGAAGGCAGACGTGGGGTCCCTCTGTGGCCCCCACCCCATGTGACAGGGAGCAGACTAGGGACAGGCAGAGGTGGTGGAGGTCCGGGGCGTGTGTAACTGTAAGCTTGCCTCGGTGTTTTGTCCCTATGTGAGGTTTACTACTTTTTCCAACACGGCCGTGTTTATCAGGATTGTAAGATGAATTCAAGTAATACAGGCAAGTAGCACTTGCATTAATTCTTTGCTAGCGTCTACGCATATAAGGATGGTTTGTGATTCTGAAAGAAAAACCAAAACCATATAGAATTCTAACCACTCTTTGGGCACTCCCATTTTGTGCTTAGATTCTACCGAGCTACCCAAGCGCCTCAGCCTCGACAGCTCCTCCTCCCTGGAGTCTCTGGCTTCGGCCCAGTCTGTTTCCAATGCCCTGCCCTTGGGCTACCAGCACCCTCCCTTCTCTCCCACGGGTGCGGACAGCATCGCCTCGGACGCCATCTCCGTGTACAGCCTGAGCTCCATCGCCTCCTCCATGAGCTTCGTCTCCAAGCCCGAGGCGGGGTCAGAGGGTGGAGGCCCCAGAGGACGGCAGGACCACGACAGGTCCAAGAGTGCTGCTTACCCGCAGCAGCGATCCACCCTGCCCCGGAGCCAGCTGTCTCCCCAGACCCGCCCTGCAGGCAACAAAGAGGAAGAAGAATACGAAGGGTTTTCCATCATCAGTACCGAGCCTTTGGCGGCCTACCAAGAAAACAAGACGACTCGCTTCTCGCCAGAGCACAAACAACCCAGAGCCGGGACCGCTGAGGCTGTGAAAGTTTCGGTGAGCTCCAAGGGCAGTGTAAGCACTCCAAATTCTCCAGTTAAAATGACCCTCATTCCGAGCCCTAACTCACCCTTCCAAAAGGTTGGAAAACTAGCAAGTTCCGACACAGGAGAATCGGATCAGTCTAGCACAGAAACAGATAGTACCGTGAAATCCCAAGAAGAAAGCAACCCAAAGCTTGATCCACAAGAGTTAGCTCAGAAGATTCTAGAGGAGACGCAAAGTCATCTCATTGCAGTAGAGCGTCTTCAGAGGAGCGGCAGTCAGGTGAGCAAGAATAATAATCCGGAAGACAGCATCTCGGTGCCAAACAGCGCCACCGTCTTCAGAGCGTCAGAAACAAGTGCATTCAGCAAGCCCGTCCTCTCCCATCAGAAGAGTCAGCCGTCACCAGTTACTGTCAAACCAAAGCCCCCAGCCAGGAGCTCATCCCTCCCCAAGGTGAGTTCTGGATACAGCAGTCCCACCACCTCCGAGACGTCCATCAAAGACAGCCTGGGCCCGCACAGTGGCCGGCCGTCGCCGGGCTCCGACTCCCAGACTTCCCTGACGGACCAGCCTGTCTTTAAACTGAAGTATCCCAGCTCTCCGTACAGTGCTCACATTTCCAAATCACCAAGGAACATGTCCCCAAGCTCTGGCCATCAGTCTCCTGCTGGCAGTGCCCCATCCCCAGCTCTCTCCTACTCCTCAGCTGGTTCCGCTCGTTCGAGTCCAGCTGATGCTCCTGACATAGACAAACTGAAAATGGCAGCCATTGACGAGAAGGTACAGGCCGTCCACAACCTGAAGATGTTTTGGCAGAGCACACCCCAACATTCCACAGGACCAATGAAAATCTTCCGTGGGACCCCTGGAACAGTGACTTCCAAAAGAGATGTCCTCAGTCTATTAAATCTGTCACCACGGCACAAGAAAGAGGAAGCAGTAGATAAGCTTGAACTTAAGGAGCTGTCTTTGCAGCAACGTGAGGAAGCACCACAAAAAGCCCCTCCCAATGGCCACTGGCGCACCGAGACCACCACGCTGAGCACGCTGCCGCTGCCCACGGGCCCTCCTGCTGGAGCCCCTGCGCGCCCTTTGAGACTTCCTTCTGGAAACGGCTACAAGTTCCTGTCCCCGGGAAGATTTTTTCCTTCTTCCAAATGCTAAAGCATCTTTTATACCCACCGACTCAGAGTGCAGCAGCCCACAGACAGGGGCTTGGTGTTCACTTCGGCCGGTTCCCTCGTCTGGGTGCAGCCATCCCACATGGCCACCAGGGTGTGCTCTCTGGGTGAGGCGCACCTCCATGCCCAAAGGCCACCACACACACACACACACACACTGGTGGCTTCTCTGGACCTCTGGGCCAGATTCACCAAAAGCCAGGACTTCTGTGGGATCAGTGTAGGAGGCTCATGGAATTTTCTACACACTTCACCAAATGTTTACCTTTAAACTCCCTGCTTCTCATCTTTGATATGATTCTTCAACAGGATTTTGTACAAAAATGGTCACGGTTCTGGGGTGGGGAGAGGAGAGGGAGCACATATTTTGCTAAGAGGTGTATATGCAGTACCTTTTATACACAGAAATACAAATAGAGCTTTTTTTAAGGCTTTCAGGTGCTGGTTGGGGGTGGGATATATAAAATATAAGTTGAATTCTACATGAAAGTGTTATATTAGCCAAAAACAGAATAATGGTTTAGAAAATGCCAATGATTTGTATTAAATTGTATCAATTCTGGTCTTATGATAGTGTAACATCACAGCAACGATGCAATAATTCATGCTGAAACCACGCTTCCAGCCTCAGCTGCTCTGCTCCATTGAGCTCTGCAAACACCCTTTGGGCCCCACTGTCAGCCAAACTTGAATTTTCTTAAAAAATTTATGTAACTCTTATCCAGGCATTTTAGAACTATGCAATTGTGATTTAAAATGCAACTTTGTGCTTTTAAAACATTGACCTTTTTTGTACATGGATGAACAACTTGGTTTTATTATCAACAGTACTCTGCATTTATAGCTATTATTTTTAAAAGCTCAAAAATTTTTTTAAAATGTCAAATTTTGAATAGTCATCAATAAGTAATTATCAAGTTTGGAGGAAAAGGTTGAAATTACTCAGTTTCCTTATAAGCAAAAAAAAAAAAAAAAAAAAGAAAAAAAATCCCTTGTCTAACTAGATTTAACCAGAATCTAGCCTTTTAGCTCCTATTCCCTTTTATTACCTGCTTAATTTTATTCTCTTCTCCCAGCTCCAGGCCCCTCAGACCTCTTCTTTCTAAATCCACTGCTAGGTTCCCACAGTCCAAGCACCCACCTCCATGAGCTGCACCCTCGTCTTCCTCATGGCTGGCGTCCCCTTGCTCCTGCTGAGGGACAAGCCCACTCCCCGACCGCGGAAGACTGATGTCTGTATCCTGAGAAGCAGGGGACCTTCTGCTGGGATATGCATCTGAATTACTGCTAAACAAGGAAAGGGATAAGGGGGACTGTTCCTACAGCTCGGACAGTGTGCTTCAGTTATTGCCAGCCTGGGGCAAGACAAGGGAATAGGCCAATTAGAGGTAACCATTAATTTATTTTAATAAAGAAATGAAATGCTAAAAATCACATTAGTACTAAGTTTAGTTGGAGAATTTAAGTAAGTCGGTTTTGTTTTTTTAGAGAGACGGTCTCACTCTGTCGCCCAGGCTAGACTGCAGTGGTGTCATCATAGCTCACTGCAGCCTCAAACTCCTGGGCTCAAGTGATCCTCCTGCCTCAGCGTCCCGAATAGCTGTGACTACAGGCACATGCCACCATGCCTGGCTAAGTTTTAAATATCTTTTTATAGAGATGAGGTTTCACTATGTCGCCTAGGCTGGTCTTAATCTCATGGGCTCAAGTGATCCTCCCGCCTCGGCCTCACAAAGTGCTGGGATTATAGGCATGAGCCACTATGCCCGGCCTACATAAGTATCTTTTAGGTGATTCTAAAATTAAAATTCTACCACCTTCACTGTGAGGTTCTATCACACAAAGGTGGGCAGCCGCCTGGCCCAGGACACCAGCAACACATGGGGTGAACATGAGGGGCCTGGCCGGAGGGACACTTATATCAAGACCCCAGGTGGAATTTTAACCTTGGGTAGTATCTCACTTTAGAAGCACACACTGACCATTTCACCTGCTCCTCAGTGTACTCCTCTGAAAAGAAAAAGGATAATATTTATCCAGTTTGTGGTGTTGTCCTGAGCTACATCACAGAGATTTTTCGTTTAACTCAACAGCTAACAATAAGGATGTCACATTCTAACCCTGGTCCCAACACTAAAAACAGAAATACTTTATAAAGAAACAAGCAACTATGAGAATGTCTTTATGTTAGTAGGGAAAAAATGGTAATAAAAGTACCAGAGTAGCAAATGAAAGCCAAATTTATAGCACTGTGCATTTAGCAAAATCAGGTCCTCAACAATAAAAAATAAACCTCAAATTTCTAACTCCCTATGTGGACGGTTGCTGTCCCTTTCTCAGCAAAGCTCTCACAGCCTCTTTCCCAAGTGCCAAGGATCCCTGGAGTGAAGGACCGGGGTCCCGATTTGCCCCCCTCTAGCCAACACCCTCCACCGCCCGGACCGCTGCCTGTGCTTCTCAAGCCAGCTAGGAGGCCTTGTGGACTCTAACCTGGTTTTGTCCTAGGTACATTGTTGTTTAGGTTTCATATTGAACGGCCAAATGGTATATGTGATTTTTTTTTGTCCTAGATACAAATTTCAATGAAGGGAAAACAAAGGTGATAAAATGATAGGCCCAATCTAAAGATCACTGTAGTCGCCACTTCTGTATGTTACTCTCAGTCTTGGTGTTTCTGTATGACTGAAATGGATGTAAAAATCATAACATCAAAGTGAATTTTTCAGGCTACACTGTAAAAAGTATGCACTTAAAATTCTGAGCAATTGTATGATCCACAAAGGTTTCTTTGTATAGATCAGGGGTTGGCAACTATGACCCACAGGCTAAATTTGGTCAGTCGTCTGGTTTTTTACGGCCATGAGCTAAGAATGGATTTTACCTTTTTAAATGGTTATATAAGGACCTACATAATATTCTTGATTTTGCCTCTTGGCCCCCACAGCCAAAAATATCTAGTACCTGGCCTTTTAAGAAAAAGTCTGCTGACTCCTGGCATAGATGACAGAAAACATAACTGGAACAATATTTTGTTTCTACAACCTAGGAAGAGGGCGTGTAGTGGCTACGTTGGCTGTTATACCTGGGCCCGAGCATTGAGGCCATGTTGACAAAAGCAAATGACTCCTGCAGAGCCACTGGCTCTTTGCCCCACTTGAGAGGAGTCAACAGATATGTGTAACATTTGCAAACATATTTTTTGCTTGCCGTTTGAAGGAAGCATTGGATGTATTTCCTTTTAGCTCAGGAAGCCGGAATGCCCCGCCCCCCTCCACTCTAGCAGATGCAGATGCGCAGAAGACAAGCAGTTCGACTCCCTCTTAGACACCTCGGCACGGCCGCCAATCAAGGGAGTAAACTCTACCATTGAACTACTCAACTACTTGAATGATTTTTAACTAGTCAAAATACCAAGAGAAAATTAGCTACTAAAAATATATTTTGATCCATTTTGATTAATTGATGTGCAGCAAAATGAAATAGTTCTCACCTCAATCCCATTTTTTAAAAGCTCATGGTTCACACTGATACTTGCAGGGTTTCAGCAGGAGACGAGGTGCCACCCACACTATCCTGGCCTGCTCTCGTCTGTCCCAGTGACCCTCCAGTAGGCAGGCACTGTAGTAAGTCCCTGGTCCGTGCATGTCCCTTTGCCTCCCAGCCACGCACACTTGCAGACCCACAAGGAGAACTGTAGCCTTGAGAATTGCAGTTCAGGTTGGAAAAGTACCACGCAATAATCTGGTTTGCTTTTAGTAAGTAGGCAAAAAGTAAAAACTATAATTTTCATCACATATTTTGTTGTTTTATCTCAAATGAGTGTACATGTGGTTTGTGAACTGGGCCCTTGTTTGTGCCAGATCCTTCAGAGATGTTCCACGTCAGGACACCTGTGGTCCCCTCTCCCCTCCTCAGACACCGTCCCCACTTGGCATTCACGTTCCTTATATGCAGTGTTAGCCATCTTTGGCCTATGTGGACTTTTTTGTAAATTACACAGTTTCCAGATGGCATTAAACTTTTTATATTACGAAATTTACCATGTAAAAAGAACTTCATATTTTTATTGAGATTGCTAAGGCACTTGGCCTTCTTCCTTTGTGATTTCAGTGTCTATTAAAGCATGAATTCCCTCAGTTTTAAGTGCTGTATCTGAATCACTTTCTATACACGTTCCACACTTTCTAGGTTTCTTTGCAATACAGAGTGGTCATGTGTCAATAATGAGCACATATCTTTGGAGTTTTATCCTCTTCTGTGAGCTGCAGCCTCACATACGCCAGCTGGAAAGTGCGCAATGGAGCTGTCCTGCCTGTCTCTGGCCCCGAGGCACCCAGTCCCTCTGGTTGTGGGGTGGTTTAGATGGCTAAACCATAGTTGGAGGGCCAGAAAATTCTACAGCTGGATAATTGTTTAGACAAAAACACAGTTCTTCACCACTAGATCCTTATAGCTAAAGAAACTTCCAAGTAAGTGTGTCTCACACTTACATGAAGAAACAGTGAAGAACTAGGCGAATGTGAGTAAATCGAAACAAACACTGACTGTAACAAGAGTAATGTCTCATTTGGGTAACAATACAAAATACCTACGCAAGAATATGTAAGACAACGGAGTTAAAGTGCTGTAAGTTTGGGAAGATAGAGCAGATTATTTTTAGAATAAGTTAATATATTATAATAAGTTAATATGTAAATTAATCGTGTACACACAAATAGAAATAGAAGGTTATATTTCCAAACTAGTTAATGGAAGAGAACTACATCAATTTTTTAAAAACCTTGGTCAATCTAAAGGAATAGAAGAAGGAAGGAATAACAACAAACAACATTTAAAAGGCAGGATAAGTATAAAATAATATGAAAGAAATAAAATTATCAGTAATCATGATAATGTAACTAAACAAAAAGCAGAGCTGTCCTGCTTGGAGAGGAAATATGCCAGGTGCTCTTTAAAAATCTATATGCTATTTGAAAAAAATAAAAAACAAAAAAACCCCACCAAAGCACAGAGGCCCCAAATGGTTGACAGTAAAAGGATCATCAAAATAGATATTAAAAGGCACTAATAAACAAGATCATTTCCTAAGGATAAACTTAGCAAAAAGGCAAAATTCTAAATTTGTATGCAGCTAACTAGATAGCCTCAAAATTCATAAAGGAAAAACTGGCAGAGCTACAAGTTTGGAAAAATACACACTATCATGATGGGAGATTTTAACCCACTACTCTTGATAATCGATAGATTAAGCAGACAAATTAGAAAGCCATATGGTAGGTTTAAACAGGTCAGCAAACAGGCCTAGGAAATGGAGCTGTAGAGAACCTGGGCTCCAATAGTGAATCCACATTCTTCACTTGCACACATGAACTATTTTATGAAAACAGACCACATACAGGCCACGTAACAAGTCTCAGCAAATACGGAAGAATTAGCACCATTACTGCCACATAATCAGAACTCAATTAAGTTAGACATCAATAACAAGAAGATAACCAAAAAGTTGCCGATGACTTAGATGTTTTAAAATGCACTAAGTAGCACATGAACCATGGAAAAACTCATAACAGAAATGAGAAAATATATATACCAAAATTGGTAGATGGCTCCAGAGCCACCCTGGGAGATTCTGGGCTTTACTTTGTTAATGACAGGGATGTGTCTTATTTGTTCCATGCAAGCCTAGAAATTTGCACAGTGGACTCTGAACAATCTCACTTTCACCTAATAAAATAAAATATACACTTATTTTTATTTCTGCTTACATGCTATTTTCAGGAAATTTATAAATTATGATAGCTTAAAAGTAATTCATAATTCCATAAAAATTAGTGGAATACAGTATTTTAAAGGAAAATTTATAGCCCTAAATGTTTATATTCAAGAGTAATGTTCAAACTATGTAACTGCAAGAAAGCCAATCAACAAGGAAGGGCACGGGCCCTAGGCAGCCAGTGCC